AATGCAGCACAGCATCCGTGCTCTACTACCTTGGGTTGGCATCGTGACCGTGACCCGTGCTTCGTCCAAGGCCCCTCAGAGGCACCGCCCTCTCCCACCAGAGGCGCAACCAGGAAGAATGCCGACTCTCAAGGTAGAGCACTCGCGACTCCTAACCAGAAGGGGACTCTCAAGCCGAACTCTCTTCCTCATGGTAAGAAGAGATTAAATTGGGAAGATAAGGTAAGGAACAACGTAATTGGACATAGCTTCCCCCAACTACAAATTTCTCACCAATGGAGCCAACGTGCATTTTGGTGACCAGTCATAGCCTCGGTACCACACACAATGCAATGCAGTGCCACCTCAGCCAAAATGGTACTTCAGCATGCCCTCATCACTCCACATACATTTGTTGTCACCACAGCCTTCCAGTCCCACTCACCTCCACCCGGGAGGGACTAAATCAGCCAGCGTCAAAGTATCCTTACTGCAGAAAAGCTTCGTCAGCGAACCAAGTAACCAAGACACCAGCACCGGTATCCCGATATTGGGAAGATAAGGTAAGGAACAATGTAATTGGAGATAGCTGCCCCCAACCACAGATTTCTCACCAATGGAGCCAACGTGCATTTAGGTGACCAGTCATAGGCTCGGAACCACACACAGTGCAATGCAGTGCCACCTCTGCCAAAATGGCACTTCAGCATGCCCTCATCACTCCACATACATCTGTTGTTGCCACAGTCTTCCAGTCCCACTGACAACCTTCCAGTCCCACTCACCTCTACCCGGGAGGGACTAAATCAGCCAGCGTCATAGTATCCTTACTACAGAAAAGCTTCGTCAACGCACCAAGTAACCAAGACACCAGCACCGGTATTGCGATATCTGAACCATCTCCGATACCAAATTGCAAGGCATGTGAGCGAGAGCGATAGACAGAAAAACAAATTGCAGTATCATGCTGAAGACCAGATAGTCGTGTACAAAGAAGAAAGCACAATGCACCGAGATGCAAGCCAGATAAGAGCAATACAACGAACTCAAATGTCAATGCCAGCACTCTCTCGCCACCACCAACATAGTATCCAATGTCGCCCTTCTTGATTGGCACTCAGTGCCCAGCCTGTCCTACTCAGCACCTACTGTAGCCTCCACTATGGTATGCAACAGGAGTCTCCTCAAGCATACACGACGAAGTCGTGAATGCAGACTGCCAGCGTACACCAGGTATGTGTCTCTTCTTCCCTCTCCTCAACCCCGCCTCTCCACAGTGTGTTTCCTGTCACCCGAAGACCACCACCCCCGATACAAGCCTGTGCTTGGCCAGCCCGGCTATGGCTGCTGTGTGCCCGCTGCCACTGCAGCACCCCTCTCACCTCAAGCGCCCGCATGCACCCTCTGGTCGCCCAGCACCCAGGCAGCCTGCCTGCGCTCAATGCAGCAGGGCGGCCGCCCAGTCGTGCAAAGCCAGAATCCCCTTTGGCTGGGCACTCACTTTCCTAAATGGAAAGTGAGCCCTGCTCTTGGCTGCCCTGAGCCTGGCGAGCATGTGCCCAGTAGATTCATGTTGGGCCAATGTGTCTGCGCTCAGGCCCATTCAGACAGCGTCATGGCCCCGCAGCAGTTAAGCTGCCAAACCGTACGATGTGGCCAGCGCTGTTCGCTGCCACCCCAGTAGCAGAGAGGCCCTGGGCCACGTCACAGCTGAGACAGCCCTGAGGCTCACGATGCAGTGCTCATACTGGTGAGGCCCTTGTAACCAAATGAGATGGTGCAACTGTCTGGCGCCCCCACATGAAGAAATGCCAAAACTAGGGCCTCATATCGGAAAGCAGGCCCACCTTAACTTAGGGCGGACACGTTGCTTGCTGCAGGCCGCTTCGCCAGTCGGGTGCTGTGGCGCACCTCTCTCTCTCTCTCTCTCTCTCTCTCTCTCTCTCTCTCTCTCTCTCTCTCTCTCTCTCTGTATATATATATATATATATACATATATATATATCACTACAAACTAAAAAAGCACTTTGCGGAACAAAGAATAAAAGCAAAAAACGGGCACAGTGATAACATGCAAAAATAAAAAGAAAAACAAAAACAAAAAGAAAAAACAAGGGCAGATTGAAACCATTAAATTTCTCATTCTTCTTTGAACTCCACCTCCACTGTGCCTCTCACGTGCAAGGCTCGCCACGTTGATGAAGTTGAACGAGCTGCCCCCATCCCCGTATGCCATAACAGCCCACTTGCACGCTGTGAGAGAGGCAGAGTGAAGGGGAAGGTGTTAAACACAGGGAAAAGCTCAAGAATGAGGCTGTCCTTGACGACAG